AGAGAGAGAGAGAGAGAGAGAGAGAGAGTGAGTGAGTGAGAGAGAGCTGTTACCTTGTTACCACAGAAACTCGCTATGGGATTATGGGTAGTGTAGTACCTTAAAATGTTTTTTGTTTTTTTTGAAAGGTTTAGATGTGGTTAGAAATCTCTTTCTCTACTGGGCAAATTAATTTTAAATGAATGCCTTTGTTTCACCCCTTGAATCACTTTAGTACCTTCACAGCTCAAATGCAACAAAGTACACCTCAACCACAGGAATATTATGAGGGAACAGAATTTTCCTTTTCAGGAAGCTGCTTGGAAAGAGTAGGATATCCCACAGAGCACCTCTGCAGCTCTGCGTCTTTGTTTTGCGTGGTTGGAGGAGAGAGCAGGAGACCTGCACGAGCTGGTACAGGCTTTAAGGAATGATTTTAACCATCCTGTTTAACTTGGCATGAGGAGACAGGAGAAAGCGCCTCTCAGGTCAGGTACAAGCAGACCTTTAAACCGAACTTGCTCGTACACTCCCTTGTAAAAGCAAACCGTATCGGAGGGTAAAAATATGAATTATTACGTCATTGCTAATAAAGCGCGGGACTCGCGCTGGCAGCGCTGCTGGTGGGTGTCAAATAAAGAGCAATTCATCACAATCACAATATTATTAGCATGCTTAATGTGACACTGATGGAGCGTGAAGTGGAGTTTTCACAGATGACGTATTCAGTTTCAGACCACAAATGCAGGGCTTATTATGATTTCTGTCTTCGTACATTAAATGGCTTATTTTGTTTTAAGTTATGGGGCTTAGACGGCCATTTGACTGGAGAAAATAATCTCGCAGATTGTTTTTGAGGATCACAAACTGTGGCAGCTGGGAAAGACGATAGTGTTTAAGCAAGATGTGGGAGCTGGGTCAAAGATACGCTGTGTGATGGTCACTGTAGAAATAAATATTTGTCTCTATATCTCTGTTGGGACGCGGCTAAATAGAGGCAGTTATTCCAAGCCAACAACAGGAATCTTTCCATCTTCTTCATGAAAGAGTCTGTGGGCGAGCTAAAGACAGCTGGACACATTTACACTAGTGAATTTTCTTGTGCTCACACACACACTCACAAAGACACACTCCTTTTTGTTTTATTTTGTCAGGTGCAGCGGGGAATTTAGTTATCTCAGGCTGGCCTCAGCGTTGGTTCTGGCTCTTCTACGGTTGATTTATTTGTCTTTTCTCACACATGAATCCAGTGCAGTCCATTTAGACATATATTTTTCAAGCTCATTGTCCAGTCATACGAATTAAAGAAAGAGGAAGTCTGAAAGACTGGAAAACGTCAAACATCAAAGCGCAGGTCAAATCCAAATAAACAAGATTGCAAATTACGGTGAAATTCAAGGAAATCACGAGTTTTACAGACACATTAACCATTTCCCTCAATTTCATATATGAAAACATATATTTTACGTTTTATTTAGGGCCTATATACAATTAAAAATTCTGCTTTATATCTGATCCCACTAGAATTTGGAACAAATCTGGCATATAAACGCTATATGACAAATACAGGCGTTATAGTGGCACTGGGAAGGTCATCAAACAGAAAGCAGGATTAAGGCACGTTATTTCATGATCCAGCTGAGATGAATTCCTCCAGTCATGTCAGGTTGGCACTCCAGATCACGAGCTCCTTTGCTTGCATGATATTCATTTTGTGATACAGCACGCAGACTCCGTTTATAAACAACGAGGGACGCTAAATGTAGCCATGCGTGTGACATTTGACTCTCTTGTGGTGCTTTGCTATTACTTAGTTACCGTATTATTTTGGATGTTTTATTTAAAACGTATTTTAATAATTCCGAGGCATGGATTTGCTGTACTGTTTGTCAGTATGATAAAATATTGGATTGACTTTTTAACAAACAAACAAACAAAAAAAGATTTTAAACGCTATTCTGCAACAAAATACATAATTCATAAATAGACGATTTTAATTGGTAGAAATTCGAATTCTTTTACTCATTAAATGCAATTTTCTAAACGTTCTAGTATTAAAAATAACAATAGGCTAGTGGTCGGAGTTAAAGTGACTATTAAATTTATGATAAAACATAAAACAATGAATACTCTGCGGTATGAAGTATTGACTTACTGTGGTAGATGTCGCACACATATATAAATAAATAAATATTAATATATACATACAGTGCCTGTGCATTGGATTAAACTCTTGATTTCCAGTTCTCATCAAAGACACTCTGCCCTCTGCATTATCTTTATTGCTTTTAGTTGGAAATAGTGCTTGTGTGCTTCTTTCATTTCCATTCTCTTCCATACAGATAAAAACGCATTATGTAACTGAAGCAATATTCTGAAACTTAGCAATCATATGCACTTATGACATAACACTTACACAAACAGCACAGTACACATAAAATAAAATCTGTACATCAAAAGGGTGTCATTATTCTTCATTCCGAATCTGTGGCCTGCATGTTGTTTCCTGGGAGAAATACAAATTCTTATTGAATCATTTTATGAATTTGGTGACACTGTAATTTTGATTTGATTATGAAATCGTACAAAGCCCGTAAAATCCTTTCAAGCAAAATTGGAGGCCCCAAGATCCTAGCAAAGCACTCAGAAGAGGGATCAAAGACTTGCGGTCATAGGCTGTATAGATGCATGATGTGTAGAGCTTTTGAAATTGACGATTGAAATTACTGGGTTAAATGATTGTCAAACTAATAGAAGTGTGAACATACACCTGAGTCAGCTGTCAAGACTCAGCTGAGCGTTTGGAGATGATTATTTACAATGTGCGCTCAGATGGAAATCTGCTCATGCTCAGACAAGATACTGTATGCCATTCATGAATGTCTAATACTTCAATTGAATCATTTCAATAAATTCTGAAAATTAATAAGCATGATCATGGCTGTTATAAAATCACATAAAATGCACAAGATACCATTGAAAACCCCTCCCATAATCAATACAAACCCTTAACTATAGGCCTAGATTAGATTTTTGTCAGATGTTATAAAAGATAATGATTTAACAGAGGAAAGCACTTTTTTGCTATCTCATTTTAAATATGTGGGGCATTATTGTAACTTTCTAAGGCCTGGTTTATTTCTGACTTATATACACACACGTTGTGTTTAGATGTATGCCTACAAATCAAAAAAATATCATAACATCCGGAATTATGATAAAAATTATAATTCCTATTTTTTTTTCATTCATATTAATGACAATAATTCACAGTATTGAAAATGTGATGATGAATTATAAAAATGAATGTAGGCCTACTTCAAAATGTTAGCAATCGATATCTTACCTGATCTTACCTTTTTTTGGGTTGCTGCTTATTTAACTAACTGTCCTTGTTGAGAAATGAGTGAGACGCGTCTGGAAAATAAGTGCAAAATGGCACTGTATGTACAGCACATTTAAAGAGAAATTTTGCAAGTAATCCACAGTTGTATTAAGAAAGGAAACATTGTCCTGCTATCTCATTTTAAATATGTGGGGCATTATTGTAACTTTCTAAGGCCTGGTTTATTTCTGACTTATATACACACACGTTGTGTTTAGATGTATGCCTACAAATAAAAAAAATATCATAACATCCGGAATTATGATAAAAATTATAATTCCTATTTTTTTTTTCATTCATATTAATGACAATAATTCACAGTATTGAAAATGTGATGATGAATTATAAAAATGAATGTAGGCCTACTTCAAAATGTTAGCAATCGATATCTTACCTGATCTTACCTTTTTTTGGGTTGCTGCTTATTTAACTGTTTATCCTTGTTGAGAAATGAGTGAGACGCGTCTGGAAAATAAGTGCAAAATGGCACTGTATGTACAGCACATTTAAAGAGAAATTTTGCAAGTAATCCACAGTTGTATTAAGAAAGGAAACATTGTCCATGCCAAATCATAAACAAATCACGACATTTCTTGTCTATTTAAGAATGTCAATTTTATTTCCGTCAAAACGCGATAAGGAAATTCGTCATTTAAATAGTTGATTCGTTCGATATTGAATCATTCCAATAAAATAACATGCATCAATTAACAATTTCAGCATGTAACAGAAACACTTCACTGGATGAATTCCTGACAAAAACTAATCTCAAAAGTTCGCAAACATTCGACGCGATGCTGTACACACTGTTATACCTCGGGATAAATGAAATAATTCCTGAGAAAAAAAACAATAGCTTCGTGTCAAAATATGCGCTGCTAGTCATTGACACAAGCTAGGTGTCTGTGTTTAGTGGACAAATCCACGTGGCTGTGCACATCTTGCAGCTTCTGGTACTCGCACTGAAAATTGACGACCCGAGGGAAGCCCACTGGATTGAACAGTGCTGAAGACGCGTATGGAGAGGTCGGGGCCATTGCGCAGGCGAGACCCGGGGTGACAGGCTCGATGGCCACTGTTTGGGACTGTTGGAAAGACTTGGCTGTGACAGAGTTCCTCGAGAAAAGCGTGGACAGAGCCGGTAAAATGCTCCCAACAGGTGGTACACCGATGGGTTGATGGAAGCAAAACGGGTAGATATCCAGACCCGGTAAACGAGCGCAGGACGCGCTGAGCCCATACGCGCCGTAGCCAAGGTTCGGAAAGCCACACGGCTGCAGCGCCTGATCTTTGAACACACCAAATTTGAAGTGCTGCCGCTTAAATCGCTTCCTTCTCCTCAGGAAACTTCCGCTCTCAAACATATCCGATGAATTGGGATCCAGAGTCCAGTAATTCCCTTTCCCGGGATTACCGGGCTCGCGTGGCATTTTCACGAAGCAGTCGTTTAGGGAGAGGTTGTGTCGGATGGAGTTCTGCCAGGCTGGGAACTTTTCTCGATAGTACACGAACCGGTGGCTGATGAAGTCGCATATCTCGCTGAGGGTGAGACGCTTCTTTGGGCTCTGGAGGATGGCCATGGTGATCAAAGCGATGTAGGAATAGGGCGGTTTCACCGAAGCGCTCTTGCTCGAGCTTGAGGGACATATGGAAGATGGGACGTGGTCCTTATCCTCCTTCTTATGTACCTGGTCGGATGCAGAAAGAGCGGAGGTCGAAAGATGTTCATCTCCAGACTCCTTGCCACCCTCTCCAACCACGTCGACAACGAGGTCATCCATTAAATCAGTGTCCAGGGTCATAATCCACAAATTGGAGACGCGAAACGGGTTCTAAACAAGCAGATGTCAACGCGCAGGAGTCTTAAACTCTCCTTCGCTTGAAAAGGGCTGTCCCTGGTTCCTCAGAACACCCTGGAAGATGGATGATAAAGAGACGAGCGCGCTAACAACACAGGATTTAATTTGGCCACACAGGAATCCTCACCATTCGAGCGCAGGAGGTCTGGAGAGCTGCGCTTGCAGCAATGTCCATCGTCCACTCCAACGCAACTGGATTCCTGCAGCTGTTCGGGAATCGGATGACGATGATGTCATGACGGAGTTCTCAGGAAGAAGCTCCACTCCAATGAAAACAGGGCAACTCTACCAGGTTCTGTCCGCAGACAGTCCTCCGAAGGAACCATGATTGATGTCACTCAAGTCACAAGGGTATTACGTCGCTTAACTGAGTATGAATTAGACAAATTACACTACCTGCTCCTTTGACTGCTGGACATATCACGTATTGGGTTTGAATTAACAGAAAATATTAAAAGCATGTGCTAAGATGAAAGAAGGACAGTGACATGTAGCAGAACGGTCGCCGTGATGGAACATTGTGATTAACCAATCAGATTTGAAGAACCAGTTTATAGTTTTTGTGAAGTTTAGGCTTACAATCAGTGTTTGGTGCTTGTACATCAGTGTCATTCATCTATCATTTCCTCTGATTTTGGGGATTAGGTTAGGTTTAGGTGTAGGGATATGGACAAGACTAAATTTTTGGATTACAATGTTGTTCCAGGGTCAACAAAATATGTTGATCTAGGAACACATCTAACTCAGCAAAATCAGGACGTGCTGTATGATATACGTATATAACAATACACATTACACAAAGAGATTGATGGTAGGACAGTAGCACAGAAATATTCACAGTACACACAGCATATGACAGTCGTTTAGGGAGAGGTTGTGTCGGATGGAGTTCTGCCAGGCTGGGAACTTTTCTCGATAGTACACGAACCGGTGGCTGATGAAGTCGCATATCTCGCTGAGGGTGAGACGCTTCTTTGGGCTCTGGAGGATGGCCATGGTGATCAAAGCGATGTAGGAATAGGGCGGTTTCACCGAAGTGCTTTTGCTCGAACTTGAGGGACACATGGAAGATGGGACGCGGTCCTTATCCCCCCTGTTATGTACCCGGTCGGATGCAGAAAGAGCCGAGGTCGAAAGATGTTCGTCTCCAGACTCCTTGCCACCTTCTCCAACCACGTCGACAACGAGGTCATCCATTAAATCAGTGTCCAGGGTCATAATCCACAAGTTGGAGACGCGAAACGGGTTCTAAACAAGCAGATGGCAACGCGCAAGAGTCTTAAATTCTCCTTCACTTGAAAAGGGCTGTTCCTGGTTCCTCAGAACACCCTGGAAGATGGATTATAAAGACACGAACGTACTAACAACACAAGATTGAATTTGGCCACACAGGAATCCTCACCATTCGAGCGCAGGAGGTCTGGAGAGTTGCGTATACAGCAATGTCCATCGTCCACTCCAACGCAGCTGGATTCCTGCAGCTGTTCGGGAATCGGATGACGATGATGTCATGACGAACTTCTCAGGAAGAAGCTCCACTCCAATGAAAACAGAGTTCTGCCCGCAGACAGTCCTCTGAAGCAACCATGATTTATATCATGTCACTCAAGTCACAAGGGTATTACGTCGCTTAACTTTGGGAATTAAAAAGACAAGCTACCTGCTCCTTCGACTGCTCGACATCAGATATCACGTATTCTGTTTGAATTAACAGAAAATATTAAAAGGACAAATTAGCATGCACTAATATAAGTCCTTCTCTCATCTCAGCATATACATCTCAGCATATATAATTAGTGTAAATAATCCACCAACACCAAAAGATTATAGTTTAGCATTATGCTTATTTCTCTATTCACATAGCGTTTACAAATCGACTAAGTTTATTGAAAATTGCTGAATTAGGGTTAAGTTAAGAAATGCAGCAAATTTAGCAAATCAGTTAACAGTATTCATATATTGCACAGTGGTAGGCTATATTCTTTGGGGTATTGTCATCATATTTTTATTAATTAATGTTTAATATTCTTTATTACTTGTATTTGCATTGTTTTATATCTTAAATAATAAATAACAAATTATGAAATAATAACAATAATGATTGATAATTACTGAACAGAATTAAGATCTAAAATATAATTTTATAGCACTATAAATGTTTTTATTATTTTAGTTATTGTTAAATCCAGATATTAAATATAGCACAACAATAATATAAAAAATAAAGTGTATACTGAAAGTAAAAATACTGGAGACCATTAAAGCAAAAAAATAAAATAAAATAAATAAATAAAAAGATAAGTAAAATGGCTGCAAATTCTTGCAGATTTTTTTTTCAGAATATGAAATAGCCAGAATGTCGTTCAGCTTTGATGCAACGAGGCTAAAATAAGAAACAGATTTATAATATTTATCATAAGGTGCCGTACTGTGTTTGATCTTCGCACATATGTTTCCTCTATCTTAATATCTTACATTTCCCATTGCGCCTAAAGTAGTTTTCTTTAATGATATGGTGAAAATCAAATAAAATTGTCGGGTCGTTTAGATGAAAGTGAACCATATTCGCTTGCATTTGGCTGCTGAAGGCCGTGGGGTGTTTGTTTTAATGATGCAGCTCTTTGTTGATGATTTCTACATTTCCTGCACGTTTAATCTTATTGATACCGGAGCCCACCGAGCGTAGAGATGACGTGGGTGGGCATGATTTCACAAATCAATCACGCATGTCCTCAGATTGGAAACAGGCCCAGCGAGAGTAATGAATGAATGAAGGATGGTTTTGGAAGCGAAAAGGGGATAATAATACAAACCCGACGCAGCAGCTCCACAGGTAATGTGCTTTATTGTGTATTCCAGGGTATTCATGATGTATACAACATACTCTACAAATGGAGACGACAATAGGTTACAAATGCTACGACTTGCTATGTAAAAGATGTTCTATATTAGAATATGTATACGATTAATATTTTGGTTTTATATTTCCACTATGCAGTTATTAGGATAGACCGTGGATTGTTGTCACAAGGCTATCGAATTTATCTAAGCCAAAAGTCCCATTACACAAACGTGTGTTTTCTCTAAGTAATATGCTGGTATAGTTTATTAAATGTAGCGTAATTGGGTGTCAAGGGAAACGTTGGTGTCCATCAGCTGACGTAAACATTGAAAATACATCTTTACAAAAATAAATAAATAAATAAACAAATAATACCGGCTGACAAAGTCTGTTTGATTCGCGAAAAAACAAATATGGCGTCTTATACCTAGCCTATTTAGCTACTTTTGTTTGGCAGATTCATTTAACGTAGGCCTATTTCTGATTACAAAACTAATAGATATCAGTTTACAATTCATTGATTAGCGAGAATTACGGTCTTTATTCTTTTGTTCTTTTGT